AAAATAAGTCGACAATGCATAATGCACTATTAGAGCTTCTACCCTAGTTTATGGTCTGATATCAATGATATCAGTTTATGGACAGTCTTAAATCTAAGTTGTGATGTTTTCGGTTAGAACTCCGGGAAAATACCGTAACCAGATTTAACGCAACGATACGGCACGCGTTTAACTACTGAACCACAGAGACGGCCTTCGTAAATGATGTTCGAATATTTTTCTAAAAAGAGCGAACTCGCAGACGAAGATAGCAATTAAATCCTACGCCCAAAGTACTGTCTGTCCGTCCTATACGTATATATACAACCTGTTGAGCTGGCTACGCTTTGTTTTCAACTAGTTCCCAACTAACTTCGCTCGCGTTATCACTTTCCTATGAAAAAGTTCCAATTTTTGTTAGTCTGCTTTGTTTCACCTACGAAATTGTGTGGCGTTATTTGTGTTACGATGCTGTTTGAGTTATTCGTATATTAGACTAGTTAGAACATTTGGAGGTACCTATGTATTTATTGATGTTATAGTTATTAGATTATATACCTATACTAGTTCTTATCTACTAGGGAAGAAAATTAATGATAACGTCATAACTAGGTGTATAGCAACTTCATAAATATCGCTTATATTTTAAATTAAATAAACCTATACTATTAAAAAGACCTTTTTGTTATTGATTTTGGTATGGAGAAACATAATGTAATAATTTGATGCCGACGTAGAACCTTAGATAAATGTCTACTGAAATCAGAATTCCACTTGAAAGGTTAATTTTTTAACTTAACTTCCATAAATATGTGCACGTAATCCCGAAGTGTGAACGCGACCTAAAACTCCGAACAACGCCGAAACGTTTAAGTTTCGAAATTCAAATCTGACATCTGTCATTTAAAATTTTCAAAATGCCGCGAAAACTTCCATTTCCCGCCTATTGAACGTTCGAACAAAGGCGACTTTGAGCGGGATAGTTTTACATTTTGAGCCAACTTTCACGAAATTGTTTAACGAAACGTGCATTCAATTAAAGTTCAAAACCATGAGGCGCAGACTTGTTCATATTTAAATGGCTTTTGTTCCGTTTTTCGCACTTTACCACGACTTTTTACCAAATGCAACCAAAAATGTTTATAATTATAGAGGAAGACAGACATGGCGTGGCGTTGATTTGTCTTTGGATATTCGGAAACCCACAGACTGAAACCGAAACGCGATTAAGCTTCACGGCTTTTTCATCTGGACGGTCGTGACGAGGACAGAATTTCTATATTTCTACCACCCCTTTATCAAGATTTCCAGAAGAAGTCCAGCATGATTTACAAAAATTACAAAACATTTTGGATCTGGTGGGGATCGAACCAAAGACCCGTTGATCATAAGCCATACTTTACTACCATTAGACAATGTTAAAACCTATTTCGTAATTTGAAAAAAGAAAACAGCTAATTAACGTAATAAATAATAAGAAAGGGGAAAATTATTAAAAATCTAAACCTTAGAGACACAGACCGCATTAGAATTAATAAATAATAAATAAACGTATGCGACAATCGAAAACCAATGCGAACTAATTAAAAACATCAATTTTGCAGCCACGGGGGAACATCTCAAATGCACACACACACACACATACAACCGGTTAACGCACACAGCGATTAAAAATAAGATCCGGACCATATCCGCGAGAGAATAGATGTACGCTCCTGAAAAATAGTATGGTATACGGCAAATGTGTCGTAGGTCATGGTACGTAGAAGAAAATAGAAATTTTGAAGAAGAGGACATTTAGTTAAAAGCTGAATAATACAATTACTAGATTAATTGAATTTAACATAATGGTCTACGTGTTTCAAAATATAATTTTCTTTCAAATTTTATCTCAAAATAATGTGTTGACGGCATTTTAGTGAGATTAAAAAATCAATATACACTGCTTTTGACAACAATACTATTCTAATTAAAATATTGTCTCAAAATGATTGCATGGGTGTGTATATTTTGAAGATCAGCATTTCTAAATAAAAATAGATTTTAATATATTTTGAATGTCATTTACCAGTTTATTCGTTCCGGTTCACGCGCGGCTCTAGAAGTTAACCGGGGGGAGACGGGTATACACGGATATCTTAAGGCGGAGCGAGACGGGTATCGCCAATTGATCCGGGGGAAACAGGGGGACCGAAATTTGACAGCGATTGAAATTGCCGGGAAATTATTGGCGATTTTTTGTTATGACGGACCTTTTTGGCGAAATTAGCATTTGTCTGCGCTCGAGGATTTGAATTTAGAATTCTGCATGATTTCGTTGGTACGAGTTCGATAATTTAAATTTCGAATTGGAGAACGCTCAAAGGAATTGAAAGAATGAGCCCTCGCTCGTTTGAGATAAAGGGTATTAAAATATAAGCGTAACTAGGAGCGGTCTGATTAAGTTTATTATTTAAAGCCTTACGAAGGTAGTTGTATAATAAGTAGAGACATACAGTCTTGTCACTACGATTTATATATATTTATTTAAACGTACTTATTTATATTCTTGACTTTTTAAAAGGGCCATCTCAATTCCCTATTATTTTCTCATGTTTTTATAACACTCCATGAGCTTCATTTAACCCTTTAGATACGGGTTATTTTAAGTCTAAGCTTCAGTTAATTAACACTGCACGGGATTAAGACGAAATTTGCTCGAAAATTTTCCTCTTAGCTAATTTTCTTGTTGCTTAAAAGCGTACCTTAATTTTCTTTTATTTTTGTATATAATTGATAAAGATAGGTGCACACATCAAGTAATTATAAATTATTCCTTCTAAAAAAATAGCTTCTGGTTTTATGGAAATATCTTAGTTATAGTAAGAATGAAGTATTTCTTTTAATATATTTAGTAAGTAGAAGGATATTAAAATCAGATAATCCTCCTCATTGCCCAATAAATTCAATATCCCTGACGTCTTAGGACAATGTCGAGTGTGTGTGTTGCATAAGGCGCACACACACAGTCTTAACGGAATCCGAACGCCTCGAGCGGTTTTAAAATAAGAATATCATAACTGGCCAGCTCCACTGGGAGAGGGTGGCTCCCTGTCAAATTTTTAAAAAAAGAACGTGCATTAATGTCATCGATGAGTTCGGTCTGGACCACAGATTGTAGAGCGTTTTAACTGTATTGCGATAGCGATTAATTATCTATTATCGTCATCTAAAATCACACGATTATCTAGGAGATCCCGTTTTAGATTGTGAAGCCAACAATAAATGTAGCCGAGCTCGTTATAATGTCGAAGGTTACATCCACAATATCGAAACTCAAATTATACCCATTGAAAGGAACGCGACCGTCCAAAAGAAAAACCGAACCATATAAATAGAAAAAAATAAAATTTTAAACTCTATTCATTTCGAATGGCGTTTTTAAATTCGCTCGGCTATGACGTCTTGAATAATAAAATGAAGTAATTGTTGGTGGCCAGCAACGGGTGGATTTCGGAAGCGTTTGCCCCCCCGCCCCCCCCCCACTGAATTTAAAAAATAAGAAAATTTCGGTGGAGCGTGATATTTTTAAAATAAGAATCTCCGTGGCATAATTCCGTGGAGATTTTAAAATAAGAATAGTTTCGCGATACCCGCCACCCCCGTCTGGAGTTCGGGTAGCGGGACCGTTCGGTCTCAACTCTACTAGCTCACTGTACTAGCCAGAACGACACTCAAACTCTACTAACTAATGTGCAAAATAAGTAAAGTGTCTTAATTTGTGACTTTAAAAACTAAGTAATATAACAAGCTATATTTAAAAAAAACTTGTTTCGTTATTTCATCAATTAATCTTTATCTTAATACTTTCTAGAGCGAGTCAATATCATAAACAATTAGAACAGTGACTACTATGCCCAGTAACTGGCCGCAATCAAGCGGGCCAATAAGAATTCGGGCCCAGATTTGGGGGGGTTCGAGCATATTCGGGGGGTGGCAGAGGTTCCTTGATGAGAGAGGTTTTTCGCAGGATTCCGTTAGGTCGGGTCATTGACCGGCGCAGTCGATACTTTCTCAATGTAATTGGATCTTTTAAAATTCCATTAATGGCTATTGACTTCGACGATTCGTTTTGAATTTCGATATGTGTGGCTTAAACGCCGTTACACTAGCTGGAAATAAACGTTACGCTGAATAGCGTCGTGTCATATTAATAGTCTTAAAAATCAACGACTACAAAACGTTTACATCTTCCTAAGAATTTACAATGAACTAAGTACATAATCTTATATTTGTTTGTATACGTGGGTACAAGATGTCAACAGTATATAATTTTTCAGAAATATGCTTTGGGAAATAAACATATGAAATGACTGAAATATTAAACTTTATTGTTTAAAACAAGTATTAAGGCCGTGACGCTTAACAGCTTTTTTTAGATTTATATTTAGGAATACCCAAAGCCAAAATGTTTAGACAACCTTCCTTGTTACATGTTAAATGGCTGATTTATTGGTGTTACATCTTCCATCAAATGAGCCCAAGGGAGTATAATAATAAGTAATAGTATAATATTGCAAAACTTCAATTAAAAAATTGCCATAGATATGCTGTTTAACAGTCGTTGAAAACCAGCGTTTCAGCATAACTGCAGTGCATCTTATGCCTATACAGAAGTCGTTGGGTATTTTGGGTTTTATTATAATGATTTAACGCCCTTGAATATGATTATGATCCTGTTTCGGCATGTAAACAACATGTCACAAAGTTAGACATAGAAGAGTCCTAACAGACACAGTAGGAAAATGTCTATAGGTTGGAACAATTTTATATGCACTTGGAATACGCTTGGGAGCTAGTATACCCTTACTCAAAATGTAAATAATATTTACAAGAAAATAAATAAATTTGTATTTGTAACTAGTATTCAGCTACATAAAACCTTTCTTTTTCTATTATTTACCACAATTAAAGTCTTGTTAATAATAATGTAGTAGAAAATATATTTTTTTATTTTACGCTAGGGTTGCCGCACGTGTGCCATGGCGGAGTGCTCGTTCGCGCGCTGTCAGCAGGAACGACGAGCGATACGAAAGGAACTGCAGCGCTGGACGAAAAACATGGTCTACATACTCGGTGAGTCATATTAATGAATAATATTACACAAACACATGCACACACACATTCTCTCACTCTATTTGTCTCTCTCTCTTTCACACACACACACACACACACTCTCTAGTACATTCACTAACTTATTCTTACAGACAACTTTTTTTCTTTTTGTGTTTGTGCTACTTACGTTAGCACAAACACAAAAAGGCCTTCAGTAATTTAAATAAAGATATAAACTAATTTTGCTTGGGATCTTTTCAGACAGTATTTATAAAATCCTATATTTTTAATTTGCGCCACTGAAAAAACAATTCTTATAATTTAAAGAAGAGACAATAACAAATAATATACAGACAAACTCAGCTGTGATTTAGGCTAAGTATATATAACCGTGCGTTCTTGACAACCCTAGTCAAACACGACATTTTATAGAATTTTTGTTTAATTTCTTATGTTTAATAAATATAAACATGTCATAAAAAATCGGATTAAACTAATAGAAATATTTAATCTTGAGCATTATTAAAGCCACAGTTTTGCGTCCGTCTCCACAGTTCAAGCGAAAGCAGGAGTTATTTCATAAATTCATTATGCAGTCTGAATAAACATCGCTTAGTGTTGAACTTGTTCGAATTATATTTGTCTACGGTTTTAGGGTTGATATAAAAGTACTCTTAGGGCGCGTTCATATTGAATAAAACTGCTAATTCGAAAAAACATTGTCTACTATCGATCATTTGATGTGGCCTTTTATTTACTCAAAAAAAATATTTTTTATTCAGAGAATTTTCTTGCACAATTGAGGATTGATGAGAGAGAAAAAGTCGTGTCTATACACTTGATGGTTGGTGAAATAATCCAACTATCATCTGAACAAAATGCATCATGGACCAAAAGCCATCCGAATATCCAAAGCCAAAATACTTTGGCTTTGGAAATCCACAGACTGAAATCATAACGCGATTGAACTCCACTTTTCAACCGTGGATGGTGGTTTGAGACCGGTTCGGTATTTCGATATTCCTACCACCCGTTTGATATTCACATGAAAATTATAAATTGATGAGAAAATTGTTCAACCCGGTTAGGATCGAACCCGATGACCCGTTGATTATTAGCCATACATACTATAACACCAACAAACCCGACAAAATTAAAGTCGGATGCAGGAAAACCCACGTGCAATACATATATTTACAGACATTTTTTGTACTTTCCTATTATGGATTATAAATTATTTTACTCTATATTTATTTCATCTGCTTATTGTAGCCCTTGGGACATATTGCATAAAGCTGCACTAGAGTGTAGTTTGACAACACTGTCGACCTGAAGATGGTGAAACGTGAGCGATTATTGCTTTGACTATGGCAAAGTTATTAATAGTATTGGGGAGGTCTTTGAATTAGAGAACAGATTCATTAATCGAAAATACAGTATTCTTCCACAAAAGAGGCATGTTTATAGTATAAAATGCGATAACTTCTAAATAAAACACTTTAACGGTTTAAAACGCGATATATTTTAGTTAAACTTGTTTCAAAATTATGTTTACCTACGGCCTGACGTTTCGGATGCTTTGCAGCAGCCGTGGTCACGGGGAGGCTAATTTTCAAATAAGTTTAACTAAAATATATCGCGTTTTAAACCGTTAAAGTGTTTTATTTAAATGTTTACTACTCGCGTAAACTATAGACTGTCTTTAAGCGATAACTCATAGAGAAAAAATTTAATTATTAAAAATATACATTTATATTTGTCTTATCTCTAAATTATAATTAGGAAGTTGAAGTATAAGATTGATGTTTTAAATTTAAAATATGAAATAAAGTAAAGTTTTAACGGTTTAAAACAACACGGTTACACCAAGGATTAACCACAGCTACTGCAAAGCCTCCAAAACGCCGTGCCGTAGTTAAAATAAATTGTAAATAACTTAGCTACTATATCGTGTTTCAACCCTTAAAGACCATAAGAGGGCTGAGACTAAATATACAAATACAAGACAATATTTCAGCTCTTTTGGGTGTAAAGTAAGAGAATATCACTAAAATAGCCGAGTGTATTATATTTTCTATAACTTCATACGTTGTTTTTTGACATTCAAAAAAATATCGATTCAATAGTAATAAAATAATCCATAACGATTTTTCTAGAAGGGAAAATATTTCCTTTGAGCGTGAGAGGGTTAACTGGTAAAAGTGTACTAAACTACAGACAATTATGAAGGGAGTCGTCTGTTGAATCTAATAGAAGGTATTAGGTTGCACGTGAAATTGACTTCCCTAAATTCAGAGCTCGGAGGCTGTATGCAAGTCGATAATCAACTTAGATCCGGTCCTCAGCCCGGCAATTACTCACCTCACTTTGATATCGCGAAAATTATATGAAAGGTTTTTATGGCGTCCTATATGTACTGTTCGACCGCCTCTGTAGCCAAATGGTTAAACGTATTGCCTAGCATTGCGTTAGGCGCTGGGCTCGAATCTCTGGGAAACAAAAAATATTTCGGTCCGGTAGGGCACAGAGGTCTAATCACCTACTTGCCTGTTAAAGAACGGATCCGTGAAACGGACACAAAATGTGTTCGCCCCATGTGTTCGAATCGGGATCTCACTTTTTTATATGTACTTGTCATTGTAACGTGTAACTGTTTTAACGGACTCTGGAAATCTTGATATCTAATGGGTGTTAAGAATATCGCTGAAAAAACCGTGATTTAAACAGTTTCGGCTTCAGTCTGTGCATTTCTAAATATTCAAAGCTAAAATAAGTCGGCAGCGCAACTGTAGATGTTATATGGGGGAATACTTTTGGGAAATTAAGAATTTATGTCTATGCCCTGAATTTGATGATTTAGGTAACACGAAGTAAGGGAGTGCTCGGTCCCTCAAAGCGACTAGGTAACCATGTAGGCTTCTAAGCCTGCAATGTAATTGATTCGAAGCACTTTCCCACAAACAGACCAATTTAGTTAGACCTTTTGGTACCGCAAAAATATATCTACATTAGTGGGTTAGACTTTGAATAAAACATTAGTCATAGATTATTATTATTTCCTATTGAGGACACCGATAGAAGGCCATGTGATTACACATTATCTGCTAATCACCCCCCCTTCCCCCTCCCACAAATGACTTTGGGTCGAAACGTCGGGGCGTAGTTAAAAATCATTTTCAAACAAGTTTAACAAAAGTATTTAGTTAAAGTGTTTTATTTGCACGCTTTCTCGTTTAACATTTCACTAGCCTAGAAATCTAATATTCTTAGTTTTGTAGTGAAATCCTGTATGTGGAACATGTTTTCCCCGGTATTCAAACACAGGACCTCTTATACCAAAATGTAAAGAAAAGCAACACGATTTACCATTGAGTTACAAAGGCTATCCTTTGATTAAAAGTACAAACTATAGATCATAGAAGATATATAATCCGACCGAAGTATGACGTCATTATATGCGATCCAGTTCGGTTTTATTAGGGTGTGTTAGTATGTGGAGGAAATTTAATTTGTCGACGTCAGTGCGGTTTAGTTCGAGAACTTTCGGCCGATAAGGAAACTTCGCCTCGAGATAATTATCTCGAAATTTCTCTGTGGACCGATTTTGTAATCGCCGTTTGTGTGGTGTATGTTTGTTTCTTGCTTCTCATCAGGTAAAGTGGCCAAACATGATGCGATACGATATCAGGAAGTTTGGTTCAAGCTTTCGTTGTTAGCCCCTAACAGTTTTTACGTATTACCTGGAGTAGAAAATAGTAAAAATAAATAGTTACAGCTTTAAGATATATAACATTCTTTGTCCGAGATCATGGCGAGATTCATCATCAGCATATATTATATGATAAGCGTACACTATGTAAAAAAATATTGTAATTTTCACAAAAAAATCAAAAACAATTAAAAATAAAGTATAGACATCAATTTTTTTTTTAAATATAATTCTATACTTTAGTTATCGTGTTAGAACAGGTTCCTGTTAATAATTTTTAGATAAATATTAGTTATTTTAAGTATAAAATATTTAATACTAAAACATGATATTAAAAAGCATTTATTATAGTTACTTAGCAGCATTTATTATCAAAGTACAATCAGTCTCTTGTATATTTCACTTCATCACTATTCATTTCTCACTTTAAAATTACCTGCAACACATACGGAGATTCATATTACAACAGTGTCTTATCCGTCTATTATACTCGCTCAATATGGAAGCTAGTATTTAGTTATATCAAGATACATTGTTCTTAAATTCGTCCATAGATCTGTGGACTGCTAAACATCTTGTGCTGAAGGCAAAGTCACTTCTTGCCATGTGAAATTTACCAAATCTTATAAGTAATTCATACAAATTGTCTTCTTTCTTTCTCTCTAATTCTGTAGGCTTTAGTGTGCATTTAGTGGGCATTGGTGTGTTTCAACTGTTTTACAATCTAAATTTAAATAAAACACTTTAACGGTTTAAAACGTGATTAAAAATGCCGTGACCACGTGACCACGGCTGCTGCAAAGCATCCGAAACGTCAATATATCGCGTTTTAAACTGTTAAAGTATTTTATTTAATTGTGTAATCACGTAAACTATAGACAGTATTTGGTTACAATCAACAAGTATTTAACGTCTCAGTGAAACATGCAGCTAGCCGCTATTATTGCATTTAAAATGTACATTATTATTGTATTAATCCACCAGAATACTATCATGTCCCCTATTAAAAGGTATTTTACACGTAAAGTAGTACGTATAAATACAATACTGAGTATATTAGTCAAAATAGCAAAGAACTATATACTTCGGTATTACACACTTTTAATGTAAAAATAACCAGTTGTAATGGCGTTAGAAGAGAGATTGAAAAAGGTACGGCCTCCTCAAAAAGTGAGCAATTAATCGTTTCGACTGATAAGTCGCAACGCAGCTAATATCCGACAAAGGCCGTCCCAATATCGGCCGAGTGGAGCGAGGTGGGTTTCGGCCAGTGGAGGACTGCATCGGGCGACGCAGCGCGCAGGCGTCTCGGCTATCCTCAGCCAAACAACCTGTTGCAACTAGGCCGGCGTGCACTAATGCAACTTCTCCGCTCCTCAATTACTAAATTCTAAATTCAAAATTCCCACTCGTGTCAAATCCGGTCCGCGATTCGGTGAACGCTCTCGGCCACCCCCCCGGTCGTCGCTTCGATCTGTACAACACTCTTTCCCCCTTTTCTTAATAACTACGGCTCAAGTGTCCCCGAGTTTTAAGACGCTAGTGAAGTGCAGTGTTTGATTGCTGAGATCGATATATTTTGTAATTGTTAAACGCTTCATACAGTTCCTGTTCGTGTTCCATAGTCGCTTAGTAATTTAATTCGTGGATAGCTCTAAGATTTCGTTCGTGTGAAGTTTCGGTGCTGGCAAGTTGGCGTGCAACAAGTGGTCGACTGATGCCTTTCCCGGTAAACTGGCTGTTATACTTTGCATGCTCGCTTTGCGGGATTATATCACCTACGTGTCCCGTTCTCGAATTCGTAAATCGCACATCGCATTTGTTTACGCACTATTTTCGTGTCAATGTTGATTCAGCGCTGTTTGCGCGTTAATTCGAGTTTTTTTTTTGTTTTATTTTTTCGACGATTTTTTTTTAATGATGGGCGGGGCCGATCACTTCTTTTGTTTTAAGCTTCCGCTGCGCCATCTTAGATCGGCGACAAAAAAGGCTGTCATGGCGGCTCCTGAAAATTTTTCCTAGCTCAAGACGCCGCTTTGATCTTCAAGTTTTCCATTGAGATTTCTTGTTTCAACTGTTCCGCTTAACTTATAATTGTTGTGCACTCTGTGTATACGTGGGGAACATTTTTCGTCAACATATTTAAATGTAACGTATCAAATTGACCTACATTTGATGTAGTGCCTTAAGTTTTGTAACTGAATTAAGAGTGCTAAAAAGTATGTCGAGTTTTAATGACTTTTTAGTTCTGAAACTCTTTATTTAGAATTACGTCGGACTGTATTCACTGATTGATTCTTCCGATAAATTCAGGTTACGTAATGGTAGAACATTTTTAATATCCATAGGAGTTTTAAAAAGTGAGTTAATTTAACGTGTTTAATTGCGTAAAACTAAAACAAAACTTCAGGCCAGTTATTTTGAAGTACTACACTAAAACTATATTTAATAGATTGAGTAAGATAAATATTAGTTTGGGCGTATTGGAATTTAACGTGTCAAAAGACCGTCGAGACAGGTCGTGGATTCGAACTCCACTGGGTCTTAACTATAAAAAATCACATGGAAAATGTGGTTTTGGCTTTAGTTGCTTTTTAATACACCCAACAACAACAGTAAAAAATACACCCAACTTTGATGTCACGTAGCCTGATCAATTTGATGTAATACAATGCACATGTAAATTTGTAAACATATAAAAATAGGTAGACAGTACATTCTACTTTAATCCATACAGTCAGTGGTTACATAGACTATCTTTGATATATTAATTATGATACTACATGGATATCTCGCTTAACATAATCCACCAGAAATACTTCGTATCTTGGAGAAACATGGTATTTCGTATGAACAGGGTATAAAAGAGCTACTCTCTTTTTATAAATACTACAAAGATATCTTCTGTAATTTATAAGAGTTGTAGGCATTGAAATAAAACATTTTTATCGGTTCGAAACGCGAAATATATTCATAATATAAAACCTTAGTTATCTTTACACACTATTAACTTTGGATTTTTTTTTAAATAAAGAATTTTGTATTAGACCAACATAATCCTTCCAGTGTCCATTCTCTTCGCTCATGTTTCTAAACGAATACCGGAAAACGCAAAATAAACTCTTGAAACTACCCAAAAAAAGGCTGCCGTTACAATCGCCGGCGAAAATAAAATGGATTTACCATTTATGGACGTTAGCCTACTGTTATATTTCACCTTTTTCCGAGCGGAAAAGCGATTTAGTGAGAATACAGGCTTTTAGGTGCCGAATAAAACTCGATCGGCCTATCTCTGTTTTACTTGAATATAGTGCGTCGACATAACATTCAATAAACTAGTTTTACGTAGCTCAGTGGCTGAGGTCTATATTTGAGGTTTTTGAGGGACTAGTTCTTTTAATGTTCCTAATTACCAGGTTGGACTATTTCCACTGAGTCCAATATAGTTTTAATATTTAAAAAGAAAGAAAGCTTTAATATTTTTTACTTCCGTTTGGACGTGATGGCACTATATAGACTAAAAATCGAAAATAAATTGAAAAAATTTCAATCCGGGCAGGACTTGAACTAACAAAAACAATAGCAACAGCGGGAACGCTGACGATGCCGGTTCAAGTCCTGCAATAAATTGAAAAAAATTCAATTTATTTTCGATTTTTTAAGTATCTAAAAATCAATTTATATTTTTTCTACGTGTCAGATTTATCTAGACAGCCTTAGATGGGCGGTATTAAAATTTTGCCCAGGGCACGAACCACCGACCACAGAAGAAAACGCCGCGAATTGAAAATTCGTATTATAAAGAATATGTTCCGAGTAGTATATATTGAAATAAAACACTTTTAACGGTTTAAGACGGTGACAAATGCTTCGACTTGTTAAGCCATACTTATAATCAATTGTAAATAAGTTTAATTAATATATTTTCTTATTACTTAATCAAAATAACGAATCATGATTACTCAATTACTAAGTCTATCAAGAATCGTTCGCTCTTGCAACAGCCTCAGTTTTTCTATGTCTATCATAAGCTACTTAGTTTTCTGATACTATATCATTGACATGTACTTATTAGATAATTAAGTATGTAATAAAAATCTTTACTTATCTACGTCTAACGGAATTTTTCGTAGCGTTTCGTAGCAGAGCGTAGCTAAATGTCTACGACAAACCGGATGTACCACGTACGATTTGAACATAGTACCTGGTAGTAGTTCAATATTTATAATTTGATATAATTAATAGCTTATTTAACAGTTACATTATAATATGTCTCCAAATGTACAAGAATAAAAGTAAAGTGATGGCATGAACAATACAAAACAAACAAAAACTTTATTTTCATCACAATGTGACAAAATAAACTGAATTAAAAGAAAAAACTAAATATAGCGAGAAAAAGCGGCCTTATCGCTAAAAAGCGATTTCTTTCAGGCAACATTAAAGATAGAGATTTACAATAATCAATGATAACAATAAGGGTAACACTACGGCTATAATAAGTTTATACAATACTAAGTATGTTTTAAAAGTTTGACTTAATAATTAAAATAATTTACCAAATCAAATGTATAAACTATGCACATACGTGAGAAGTTTAACTAAGTTGGTTAGGGTTTGATTCCCATTTGCTTTATGGATTTTAGTTCTCTACAATATTCCAATTTGCAATAGATTAACTTTGATATATTTATCTTGAAAAGTCAAAGCTGTTTCGCTTACATCATTAACAGCGTTGCATTTTGTTGACTGAATATCTAAAAACTTTATTATTTTTTACATGTTATTGCACATGAAGGCACTATATAATTAAAAAATCACAACTATATTGAAAAAAATTTCGACTCGGGCAGGACTTGAACCGGCATCGTCAGCGTTCCACCTCGTCGTCGTCGAATTTTTTCACCTTATTGATACATGCACCTCACGCTGAGTATCTGAGCTCTCGAATATTAGTAACTCTTTGCATTTAAAAACGTTGCAAGTGTTTTACTCAAGTCAACCATACATATCGAATATGAACAGACAAAACTGGCTTTATAAGCGAAAACATAAATTTAATAACTAGAGGAGTCAATGACTTCGTCCATATAGAATAGTTATTTTGGCCATTCAAATTTGATTTAGATTTAAGCTATTGCCCACGACGTCGGGTCGCGTCCCGTCGTTCTTGCAAGTTAATCTACAAAGATAGACGTATAGTGTTGCGGAAAATTTTTACATCATTAAATGAGAATAATTCTTTCATATTGCTAGGTAGTGTTTTATAGCCTATAGCCTTCCTTGATAATTGTTCTAATTAAAGCAATAATCTTTTTTTTTTAAATTCCCACCAATAGTTCCTGAGATTATCGCGTTCAAACAAACAAACTTTTCAGCTTTATATATTAGTATAGATTTTAATGAATATTATTCGCAATTCTATCATTAAGAACCCGACCCCACTGTCATTCCATTGAACCCGGCGAAAAAAAGTCGACAAAATACAGCCTTATTGAAAAACACACTGCACCCGACGTGGCCGCTCAACCGAAAACTAAACACGACTCAAATATATTTGGAGGTGACGTTTAGACGTACCCTTTTAATAAACCCTTACGTTTCAACATAAACATATATGATGTGTCTATAAAGTCAAAATATTAAACACGTGGAGACATTAAATATGTAAGTATTTTTATAACATAAATAAGCCCTATCTATTTTATTGCCAGGATTCAAACTTTGATCGTTTTGTGCTTATTTTCTAATCCCATTTGAATGTCTAATATTTAATTAATCAAACAAAACATTTTGAAAATGTTTTAAAAGGGGGCTTTAAACTTGATTATTTTTTAATTCTCGAAAAAACAATACTTTATAATATAAATTGCAGTAAACGAATATTTAAACAAATGTTCAAATGCAAAATGGAAAAATAATACACACCATTTTATTAAAAAAACTATACTATACCAAAGTAAAAAACAATATATTTTATTTAAGTTTTATAAATAATTTTAAAAAACATTTTAATACTGTACAGCGTTATTACCTATTAATATCATATTACAATGTACACCATTTAATACAACTTATAAAACACTATCTATGTTTATCAAAACCGGTACATCATTTTATAACAGCGAGGATGTGACGTCACGACATTATAATCCTAATTTTAAAACGTGCTCTATTCACGAACAAAACAACGGCGAACGCAACGTTAATTCCGCTGTTAATAAAACTAAACAAAGAATGATAAACTTCGAAAGATAACACAGAGGTCGATGCATTTCCTCAATTTCAATTATTTTCAGTTTTATGCGCAAAGAACGAGCGAGTCGAACACACCAATTTATTTCCTAAATTAACGTAAATAATGGTCACATGCACTAACGTTAGCAATTTTTCAAAGCTATTTCCATCTACAGCGCCATCTGTACGTATTCGGATAAAATTTTTCACCGAACCTTTTCTTACAAGAACGGCGCACACAGCCGCGGCCATCGGCACACAATCGAACGCACCCACACTGCAAGAAAAAAACGATAAAAAAGCACACGGATACCACGAAATTTACTTTGCACACACGCTTGCACTTCCAAATGGTTTCGGCGTTAGGAAAAATTTCGGCGCCGTTTTCGGTCGGATCTCGCTTCGGAATTAAGAAGTTCGGATTAATACAAAGGATAAGTAAGTAGTGCTAAATGCTCAAGGTTCGTACGAGCCCGTGTACCCACACAGCGTTGCACTCTGTGAATGACGTGCATTCTGCGCATGTGTGCACTCTACTGCGTTCGACTAGTATTGATACTTGGGATTATACGCTCTTCACATCTTCGCTGACTGTCGTTAAATTGCTATCGATTCGGCGCTTTGCATACGTGCGTTACATCTGAATGATATTTTAGTAGTGAAGTATGAATGTTACTCTCAGTTTTGTATCTGTTAATAAACAGCTGGATTACAGGTAGTAGACCAGTAAAACATGCAAAATGTCGGGTAGTTAAGTAAATCTTATTTCGCGTTTTTAGACAAAAAAGACTACACCTTCTGTGTAATTGTATATAACATATTCAGCAAGTCTTAGTTATCTTTAGTCTATGAACTTTATAAAACTCAATCTGTTACATATTTAGAGAATATAACATAGTCGACATCAATTTGCGTACGAGTCTGCCCCAGCCGCGCCGACGTCACTCGAAGTGCAGCAAGTATCAAGCGCGCGCGGTCCGCTGCATTCGGTTTCAGTAAATACAAGGTAATGGCTAAGTACGCACGCGGTCTAGTAGTACTGTGTGCGCCGTCGGTGCAGTTCCGTCTATGCACAATCCGCTGAGAGTCGCATTTCCGCTCTCGACCACCGAAAGACGCGGCAACCGCTAAAACCTCCAAAAACACGTATACTAATAATAAAAGAAATATTTTTTTCTATAAAGAAATTTTTTACTCATATCGCGCGACATATTTTGGGATTATAGTGATTTTACTGTGCGAAATGTACACATATCATAGCGAAACATAGGACCCGAAACTATTTTAGAAAAGTTATATATTTTTGTGGGAATATGTGCGTCAAGTGAAGCGAAGGCTGTGTTCATGAGGTGACCGGGATTCGGGATCGGAACCTTTTTGTTCTTTTTTTTCTTTTCTTTGCGAGTTTCCGTTTTACAATTACGAAAATTACCACCGAAGTGTCAAACTGGACCGAGGACGAACAGGCCACCTCTGACGTATGTGAGTACGAAATAAATCAAAATATGCTTCGACCCTCGCTATTGTGCCCTTAATCTTGCGCCCGTATGTTTGTGTGCGTATGTACAGCGCGGCCCGAGTGTGCGTAGGGTTCACGCACATTTTTTGCGTTTTTCTCACTACCCCCCACCATTTCGCCCCACCTTATATTATCTGTCCCACTCTTTTTCTATAACGAGGTTACATGTGTGCGTGGCTCGCGCGCGTGTGCGTTAATAAATTGCAACCTATATTTTGTTCGAAGGCCAATGGCGATAGAAATATTCAATAACGTATTAGAATTGCAATTTTAAAGGAATGTTTCGAATTTGGAACGATTTGAATGCAGGCCTTTTATTAGCATAGCGACGTGAAACTTTTCACTCGTTAAATCGTTCGTTTTTCGAAATTAGAATAAAATTTGAATGTTATTTGACAGTTGATAAATTATTCATTACCACCGATATATTTTGATGTTTTTTTTTTAAATTTCATTATCTTTTTTTAGATTTACACGTTAATTTGAGCGGAGACGCTACATTTTTGTAGAGTCGTAGGCTAAAAGTTACCGACGGAACTTTTTACGGGTGATTTTTTTATTATTCTCTGTTCAACATTGTATTAACTAAAATCCAATACATAAAAATGCAAAATAGATACTTAATTACAATATGAGTTGAATCAATACTATCGTTTGTTTTCTACTATATTTCCATAAACTTTCTAATTTAATTGCAAAATTATATCCCCTTGATTTTTTAAACTAAAAACATAACGAACTTTTATAAGTTAAACATTTATCAAATATTTATTTTTTATTTGATAACTGATATTTTAATATCGGCCTAATTATTATTTAGGTTATTGCACGATGGCAACAGGAAAGTACTGGAACTAAAATGATTGCTGAACCCTATAGTCATAAATAAACATACTGGCCATTAATTTTGTGTATCAATATAAGCACTTTTATTGATACACAAAATAATAAATAAATGTATTATGAGCTATTTAATGTTCTAAAAGTTTTTTCATAAACTTTAGTCATTTTATTGTCGTCATTAATAACGTCATTAATTAATTAAATATAGCATTACTTGAAAGGTTTTCCTCTCAACACGGCGATGAGAAACATTACTTTTTTCAACGAATTAATATTAACAATATTATCAATGAACAAGTAGGTAAATATTGCGAAAAAATACCCGGATATTAAGAATGTGAGTTATTTACACAATTTAAACTTTATTTTGACGGAAATGATTCATTCAATTTGTTATGACTAATTAAAAAATGTGTTGTTTAAATGATACCATATATATATTATATAAGTAAACTCTTATAATAAAGTTTGACTATCGGTACATATTTATCACTTATCTATGAAAAAGGAAGTTTTAAAAATTAATGTAGTTATTGTATGGGGTGTGAGTAAAACTACTCTACTACATTAAGTTTTACCAAAAGCCGTTCAGTAGTTTTTGAGTGAAAGACAAACTCACAAAACCTGGGTAGGTGTAATATTTTCTTATAATTTACCTACAATCATCTATAATATTCGTAGGATTCAAATTATAGTCAAGGGTTGCTCGAAAGCGCCAACGTAATTGTAAGTTCAAGTGTGCGCATGATTGCACAGTGCACTAGACAGAGTCCTTGCGCGCGCGCCGGGCAAGGCGACTCGACTGTCAATGTTACTATCTGTCAGCCGCCATATTGGATTTAGAAGCACGTTCTAAGCTATGTTGAGGTTATTTATACTCCGTATTTTATTACGCTATTTATCGGTTTCGTTAAATGCTTTGTTTTTAAATATGAAACCAGTTTTTTTTTTAATGGTAATCTCTGAACTATTTTATCGCATATACATCATTGATTATTGTTAAGTAGGTATGTACATTGTTTATAGATTCCTATCTTTATCTAAAATCTTTTCTTTTGTATATATAGTATCTACGTATACCTACTTAATATTATTTTATCAATATATGATATACATATATATATTAATTTTTATATTTAATATATAATACAATGTTAATAGCTAGACAACAACACTGTTGTTTGCACATAATTACCTAATGCAGGTAGGTGCATTTCTTTACCCAAACGAGTGATGTAAATACATAAAAAGTATGTAAAGAAAATTGTGTTACACAAATGAAATCACAATATCTAAATATGAAAACCTGTTTTGAGTTCAATACGGGTTTGTAGATTGAGATCTAAGCAAATCATTGCGCGCGCAACTGCCGTTCTCTGTCTTAATAACTCGTGATTCTCTGCTGATTCTTTGTTTTTACCTGAGATAATAATTAAAAGGGACTGGAAGGATGTTTAAAACATATATAGGAGCTGTTTGAAAGACATTTTGAGTGGTAGGAATATTGAAAATTCCGTCCGAGTCACGAACAACCTATGAAAAATCTGCGGAGTTTCGCTTTGTGGATTTCCGAATATCCAAAGACGAGATGGGTCGACAGCGCATCTGCATCTTGTTAAGATGTTATATGGCTAGGGCATTTCATCTTCCATTAAGGGAACGCCATACTTGTACGTCCTCCTCTATAAAAAAAATAATTTATAAAGAGATACAATAATTATTAAGATTGTGAATTTGTGTGGGGCGTAGAATTGTTTAGTGTAGTGTAAACAGAGCAATCATTTTAAAAAGCATTATGACAATCCCAAAAAATCTATGAATTAAGTAGTGAAGTTAGTTAGTTGTTGGAGTTAGTTAGTTTTATATGATTCGTAAGCAAAGGTACAAATTAAAAATTACAGATCACAGTCTATATATAACAATAGTTTTAGAGTTACAATTTTAGTTCATTAGCATTAATATATTATAATATATTTCAGTAGCATTATTTTTCGTAATGGAAAATTCGTAAAAAGTACTGTATTCATTTACAATAATAAATAACTAAACCCCTCGGCCTCCTCCTCATTTATAGTAGAGTAATATACAAAAATAATTGCCAATTTATTTGATAAATTGATCGTTGCTAACTTTTAATCGCAATTATTATATACAGACAAAGGTTAGTAAACCAGTTCTAACGTTGACAAGGAACGTGGCTGGCGACTAGTTTTACCTAATAGCCTAAGAGCTGTACAATTTCTAATTTAATTTAATTTTTAAACATATCGTGCCTTTCGCATATTTTAGCTAAAAAAACTTAACACTACGAAATGTATTTGTTAAGAATTAAGATTGAATTGACATTAGGTGAGAATGCTTTTTGTCCTACAGAGCAAAACAGTAAATAAAGAGTAGCTAATATAAGTGTTATAAAGCCTAATACGTATAGCTTATAAAATAAAAGCTTACCGCATAACGCTTTTTAGGCTCGTTATTCTTCAAGAAATTTTCAGACAGGGTGGCCTAAAAGATTTTCGTTTCATCGTTACTAAAAACTGAAACATTTCTTAGTGTGGATTTATTTCTCGTAAATTGTGATTTTGAAAATTTATTATTGGTCTAACTCTTGTCGTTTTAATACGATAATTGATTTGGCGAAATGTTGAATTTTAGAGTATATTGAGGTAATCATTGAGACCTCTTAAATAAAATACTTTAAACGGATTAAAATGCGAAATGTATTAATAAAATTACTTACAATTTATTTCTATGCTTTGCAGCAGTAGTTTTGTAGAATTAAGTAGTATATACGTTGTTTATTACATTTCGCGTATGAAACCGTTAAAGTTGTTATATTAAAAGTAGAAATAGTAAAAGTATGGATAGTACAACCTCTTAAACTAAAATCGGACGGTCAATGTGAGGGCCGCCATTTTGTTATATTCTGGTTTACAGATAGCAGATCAATCGTTCAGAGAAACACCTGTTCAATAACTGTTCCACACATTGTTTTACACGTTTACTGACAGTACAGAGGAGGTTCATGTTTTCGACGCGTCTAACGTATGGAATTATATTTTAGCTACATTGCCTGCCCTGAGCAGATAAACTAAGGAACTAAAAATAAACTCTATTGTTTATTGTTGCCACAAAGATGTGATGAAATTACAAAATGTATGTAGCACGAAACGGCAGGCAGATATATATGTTTGTATTTAACAAATCTATGTTACTCTTCATATAGACATAGATTTCTATGCTCTGTGTTTCCTTAGAATTTGAACTAAGGACCTCACCGGTTGACCGCAATGTATCTTACCACTAAGCAGAGAAGACAACGATGTCTCTTGCCAGTTTTTTATACTGAAATTAGGGTAGTTTTCCGTCACAGAGATTTCTTTGTTGGAAGATAAGGAATTTTGTATGTGTCATGTAATTTATACAGTCTTTTATACTCTTAACATTGTCTGATTAACAATAACCGAAAACCGGCCGAAATTGGGTCAACATGGTTCATACTCCCAAACTGAGTCAAGGATGTCGTCAATTGACATCCGTTTAAGCTTCATTTACATGTGCACTTTGATACCAAAATATCATATTATCAATCGCCTACCACCAAAACCACTGGTCCATAGATAAGAAAGCTGCGTATCTTAATCGCGCTTCGGTTTTAGTATGTAGATTTTCGAATATCCAAAGACAAAAAAGGTCGACAGCACATCTTGTTATATAGCTGGGGTATTTCACCTTCCATAAATTAAACCCCCATACTAGCCTGTCCTCCTTTTTCACACTTAAATAGGTAGATATAGGTATACAAACATATTTGAAAATTATTTTATTTTATCGCGTTTTAAACCGTTAAAGGGTTTTATTTAACAGTGAAACAGCTATAAAACAGCAACAAAATTGTCTTCCCCATAAATCAGAATAAGATTTCATAAAGTAAATTTGTACATGTACAGTAAATAAAAATAATGGTTTCCTTACAAAGTAATGATTACATAAAGAAATTCGTTGAAAGCAAAATTCGTTAAACCCGATCCTTATTACCGCTCTTCGAAATAAAACAAGGAAGGAACCAGAAATGAGGTCAGTCAATTTCGGCGGGAGACGAGACGGCGAAAGTTTGTTTTTTTTTTATTTATTTTTTATTCATTACTTTCGTCTGGAGGCCGCGGTCAACGTATTGTCCTTGATAAGGGTGTGTGCATAACGAACTTATTGCTTTTTAATTTATTACTCGCAGACATTT